AAGTCAGAGAATATGTTTAGATTTTAAGGTGATAATGATTGAGTGATACAAGTCAGACTAATTAACCCATATCCGAGGGACTAGAGGTGAATTCAAACCATTCGCAAAGATATATGCGAGTAAGTTAATATAACGAAACCAAAAGGGAATTGGAACTCGGCTCTCCGATTAATAATTCGAAGCTATTATCTATTACAGCACCTGCACGTCCAAGCTTAAGGCACTTGATATTCCGAAGGAGTCACCCATCTAGTTACTAACCATACTTGACGGTGCTTAATTTACGTCTTTCAATGTTATATATATTAGGTTTATGACTTTCTGTTTAGCCTTGTATTCCCTTATCAAAAATCGCTGAACTTTTGTAAAAAGTTGTAAAGAGTCAATAAGAGTAATGTCAATCGACGTCTCCAGATGTCCTGATCTATCCCCTATCCTTCTCTTCATCCTTTCCTCTATCACTCCTATTTGCTCTTGCTCCAACTCTCTGTAACCCCTTTGTGCTAGTGGCTTCCGCCTTGCTTGGGGTAAAAACACCCAAAAAAATTCAAGACTAGAGGCTTAACTGGATACAGGATAGAGGGTAAGAAATAACAAAATAGATTTCAGTCACTGAATTTGTTGAATATTGTTGTCATATCCATTTTTCCTGTTTCCCTGATATCTATAATCTCCAACTATTCAAATGTAATGTCAATCGACGTCTCCAGATGTCCTGATCTATCCCCTATCCTTCTCTTCATCCTTTCCTCTATCACTCCTATTTGCTCTTGCTCCAACTCTCTGTAACCCCTTGCGTGCTAGTGGCTTCCCGCCTTGCTTGGGGTAAAAACACCTTAAAAAAAATTCAAGACTAGAGGCTTAACTGGATACAGGATAGAGGGTAAGAAATAACAAAATAGATTTCAGTCACTGAATTTGTTGAATATTGTTGTCATATCCATTTTTCCTGTTTCCCTGATATCTATAATCTCCAACTATTCAAATGTAATGTCAATCGACGTCTCCAGATGTCCTGATCTATCCCCTATCCTTCTCTTCATCCTTTCCTCTATTACTCCTATTTGCTCTCGGTAGGTACATTCTGTTTTTGTTTTGATAAAGTCCACATTGGACGAAACGCGTAAGCAATTACCAGTTTTCCTATTGTCATTTTTATTCATAAATATATATATATATATATCTCAGTTGATTTTTTTTCAATTTGGTTATGAAGTAATTGAGTAGTACTTGTGTACTTTGACGAATTTTAACATTTTATACATAAAGAATAATATCCAACTTTACAAATAAACAAAAATTGGAAAACTTGTAGGAGTTATATTTTGCAGATAATGTAATTGGATTGTACTTACGAATTTTTAACGCATTTAACAATTTATAGAAATTGCATAAAACACAATATTACAAATAAGCAAAAAACAAGTCTAGAACGTTCCAGAAAGTCATCGTACTACTATACCTATATACAATTTAAGAAATTTCCTGTTGGCGGTGACATTTAAAATATCTAAATTAAACTTTTCTTCATTACTTTTGAACAAAAGTTCATCGAATTATGATACAGGAATTTCAGTATTTTACAAAAAGACATGATATATATATATATATATATTATTCAAAATTAAATACGTAAAATTGAACTGCCTCCGACTGATGCCAAATCAGACAATATATACGGCCCCGAAAAAATAAAATTCAGTCGATCACTTTAGAGGGTAAGCGCAAATTTGTAAACAGTGACCGCTACTGCTGATAATGCAAAATCTCTTCTCTGAATTGATCACTCTGAGTCACTGGCGTGTTCATTCTAAAATAAATACGTAAAAATTCACCATCTTCTCTGCTGGTAGCTGATAGCTTATGGGAAAAAACAGTCGGGTTTCGATCCTGGCTTGAGGCAATTGGATGTTTACTCACACTAATTCACACTGTGGATGTCTCTCTCTCTCTATATATATAATGAAAAGCTTAAAACACTAATATTCCACGGTTAGTGTTTAAGCCTTTTATTATATCCTTTACCTGTCCTGACATTGAGTTCTACCTGGATTCCTATCCTCTTGAATTTTTTTATACAAAATATATATGTATGTGTATGCATGTATGTATATATATTTTGCATATGTATGTGTATATTTACCACTAATATATATATATATATATATATATATATATATATATATATATATATATATGATAATCCACTTTAATTGTAAAATTAATTTCCGTTAAAATCATTTTATCATTAAATGTGATTACTCGTTCTGGATAAATAATATTACAAGTTTACTTTTACTTTTCAATCCAGCGAAACAATTCTCTGAAAATGTTTCGTAATAACCGCTATCTCCATTAAGTTAATGAGCCTATTTCTCTCGACCGCTGTCTTTCGGTCGAAATGAGGCGGACATTAAATCCTAGCATTCTTTATATGCGTTACGAGAATAAAAAAAAAAGAAGAATAATCACAGGAATCTGTTTGGTGCGAGGTAATCCACTCCTTTGACTTGTCAGACCTGAAGATTGTTATAAAAACTTCGACGGTTGCTTAAATGAGGCTCTAAAATGGTATCGTACCTTTGGGAGTAAGTGAATTAAGATTACTTTGTGAAACTGTCTCTTTCTGAAGCTATGCTCTATAGCTAGACTTATTGTTAATAGATGAGTATGTGAACTCGGAGACAGAAGAAATAAAGAGGATTAGACGATAAGAAAAGTATTTTATGAAGCGTCGATTTTTGAAGCGTCTGTTGCCTGTCGGTCATAAATATAATTTATTTGGAGCTTTTTATAACGGGCACAGGATTTGAAATCGAATCAGAAAAAAAATGGTCTCCCCTAGGTGGAAATAAGCGTCCGACAAAAGAAAATTCAGAGAAATAGGTTTTCTCAAGAAATAAAAAAAAATCTGCGATTGAATGGAAAATACAAAGAAAAAAAAACAAAAACAAAAAAAAACAAAAAACGATTAGAATGATGGGGGATGTGGTTTGATTTCGTTGATGTTTTACGGTTTATCAACCCTTTTCGGATTACTAAAATTTAAACAATATTTTTTAGATTCTAAGAATTATTTTTGAGACATTGATTTAACAATACATGTCTTACTTATTTAAGCCATACGTGGGGTGAAAGAGATGGTTCAGTACATTTCCCAAGGGTATTTGTACGTAAATAAATATAATGAACCCAACGGTAATTGAAACAGCTCTCCGATTAACAAATCCCACCCCAATATCCATTACACCATCTACACATCCAAGCTTTAAGAACCGGGTATTCTCAAGCTATCACCCATCTTGATACTGACCAGGTTCGACGTTGCTTAATTTCGATGATCCTACGGGAACCGGTTTTTCAACTTTAGATGACCGTAAGCCTAATAAGGGGATATGCCTGTAGTGCAAAGTTGCGATTTGCTTACCTCTTCCAATCGTCATTACTGAGGATAAGTGACCATGAACAATCGATACAGTTTTTAATTCTAAGTTATCCTTCTCCTAGACTAATCCCAATCATGGCTAGAGAGCTTAGTTTTTCTTTCAATTCATCCATAGATAAAAAAAAGAAAGTATTCAAATAGCGTTACCCAAACTCGTTACCCACTACCTTTATATCCGTCATTTTCGTCGGTGGGAATGTGAGGTAGGTGGGTTTCGAATACTGTTCTGACCATTACTTGGCTACTACTCTCATCACGAGGATGAAGTCGTTGGCTATTTGGAGGTTAGTCATCAACGTCACTATGAAGCCCCATCTCAGTCGCTTTGGAAATCAGAGTGATTCTCCTAAAAGACAGCCTGCGAACCAAGTCTAAGAAACTCTGTCAGCCGGACAGTGTAGCGTTTATTGTTAGAGACACTGGAAGACGTAACCCGAGTTAAAATTCCACCATCTATTGATGTGTTTACTTCAACTTGAAAAAGACATGAATTCATCTATTGTTATACTTTTTCTGAATTACGTAACTAACCTAGACTCTGTAGCCTTGAGAATGCTACCTCTGAATTCAGAACTGTGGAGGAGACAAAGAGTAATCACTGCTTTATCTTTCCAAAGAACTCGATCCCACATGGAATCTCACACGTACATAAACCGCTGTTTCAACGTGATATGGTCATAATGTAGATGACAAATTATCTTCTTAGAAAATTATCATCGTTATAGTATTTGTAGCCTTGGGTAGCAGCCAGTCTAGGTGAACCTTAGCTCTGAATTCAGAACTACGGATAAGGCAAAGGTTAACCACTCCTCGATCTTTCCAAAGAACTCATGATAATGCACATGTAAAGTAAAGGAACATGCAAAAATTTATTATTGTCTATGCTTATGACATTAAGGAAAAATATGGAAATTTGTTTGAGGCTTTTGTTCTTTGTCTATTATTCAATCGAATTTAGCTTCATAAACAAGCGAGATTAAAACTATGATAACTTGTTTGATGCACATAACATGAAATGGGTAGTAGAAAATAAATTGTCAGATGCCCACACCGTGAAGACGCCATTGAAAGCATCCAAAACATATCATTTCTCTAAAGAGAACGTGGTAACGAGAACAATTATATTGTTTCTCAACTTCCCCGGGCCTCAAAATGGCGGTATAATAACATAAATGCATAATTAAATTCACTCGAATATCTTCACAAGAAAAAAGGCGTATCGATCGTAAACATGTCGAAAAGAATTCTCGTATTGCTACAAATAATCAACGCAAGTCAAGCATAGAGATTATTCATAATAAAATAATATATAATAAAATAATATATAATAAAATAATATATAATAAAATAAAGGATACTGCAAGGAAATGCCGGTGAGTTTCATTTAAATATAATTGAAACGGAATTTACATATTTGAATATACTAGGAAGCGTTGACTTCAATGGCAGTTTGAGTTTTAATAGAAACTCTCCATATTAAGGAAGTATGAAATAAAGAGTAGAAAAAATTGATGTGAAAGACAAATTTAGATATAGGTAAGTTAGAAAATGTGGATTAAATAAGAAATAAAAGAATAAAATAAGGCACCGATGAGAGAGATGAAGGAGACTGAAGGGCAGAGAAGAATATAAAGAACAAGGGACCGAAGAAAAAAGAGCGAACGGCGGGTATCAAATGAGCGGACAACGGGAAGCAAAAAGAGCGGACGACGGGAAGGAAAAAAGCGGGCGACGGGAAGCTAAAAAACGAACAAGGGGAAGAAAAAGAGCGAACGACGGGAAGCAAAAAGAGCGGACGACAAGAAGCAAAAGAGTGAACAAGGGGAAGCAAATGACCGGACGGCATGAAGCTAAAGAGCGGACGACGGGAAACAAAAAAGGGAACGCCAGTAAATAAAAAAAGGGGAACGAGAGGAAGCAAAAAATGGTACGACAGGAAGCAAAAAAGGGAACGACAGGAAACAAAAAATGGTACGGCAGGAAGCAAAAAAAGGGAACAACAGGAAGCAAAAAGGGGGAACGACAGGAAACAAAAATGGTACGGCAGGAAGCAAAAAAGGGGAACAACAGGAAGCAAAGAAGGGGAACGACAGGAAGCAAAAAAGGGAAACGATAGGAAACAAAAAATGGTAAGGTAGGAAGCAAAAAAAGGGAAAAACAGGTAGAAAAAAAAGGGAACGACAGGAAGCAAAAGAGCTAAAGAATGAATGATAGCAAACAGAAAACTTAATGATCCCAAGCCTTTTGTAAGCAAAGATAGAGTAAATATAAATTGGAGGAAAGAAAGAAGGAATAAAACTGATATTAAATATGGAGTGGCGAAATCTTGGATGGTTGATGTAAAAATAAGATCTAGAACTGCCGCTTTCTTTACTGCCTTTTTAAGAGACCAATTCTCTTAATCACCATATGCTTGATGTCTGACCATGTTTTGGACCTTCACTTAATGATTTCGGATATGGCCAAGTGTCTTGTTTTAAATGTCCGACACCTAAAGCGAAACGCTCGCTCTTAGCAATATATAGAATTCCTTTCATCTCGCTCTTTTCCATTCTACACGGGTTTTGTTTTTATGCCATAGAGGTGCTAGACACAGTTGGGAATCTCTAGATTGAGAAGTTGGCAGTGTATTTCCTGTTGGACTCTACTCCCTTCGACTTGACGCGAACGAACAAGAAGTAGTCGCCGAGACATTCAACGTCTCACCAAATACGACCTCCTAGCTCTCCAAATTTGAATCCTTTGAACAAGTTGCTCATCCAAACTGAAAGCAAGAAACACTTTCTATCCCTGCTGAAAGACGCCATCATCGACGTGACGGTTACTCATATGAACGATATATTTGTTTTTAATATTTAATTCACGTGTATAGATTTTAGAGTAATTTTACTAATTTCGTCTCAATTATTTCATCGGTTTTTTCTTAGCTTATTATTTTTTAATTATTTTTAGTAATTGACTGGTTTTCTACGGCTTATTAACCCTTTGCAAGTCATTGCAAGCAAGAACATATTTTTAGATTGTAAGATTTTTGTGACGGGGAAGACAATGTTTTAATGATACAAGTCTTACTAAATAACCAAGACCTGGGTGAGTTCAGGTGGATTAGTACCTTTCCTAAAAGTATTGGCGCATACGTCGATATAACGAACCCAACTGGAACTCGGCTCTCTGATTAAACAATTTCGAATCATTATCCATTATATCTTTCCCAAGGAAACGTACGAAAATTGTAAACCTGCACGAACACACTAGCAAGCCTTACCAGTGAGAAATCAAAGTACACTAGACTAGCTCGGAAACTCTCCTGATTTAAATCAAATCGAGAATCTGTGGTCAATCTGCAAAGAACAACTTCGTATTAGCACGAAAGTGAATGTATTGAACTCTACTGGAATTCGAACTCGGTTCTTCGATTCCTCAACCCGAGCCGGTAACTAGTTCTTCCCCCTGCTATGAGTAAAATAGCAGAACTGACTCGGCCTTACAGCTTTGGGTAGCAACCAGTCTAGGATAAGGAAACTCAGAATTCAAACCAGATCGCATTATCTTAAAAGTATGTATACATGAAGTTGGGAAGAACTTGTGAATTCAAATTTCCACTGAAACTATATATCTGCACCTCAGAATGAATACTATCTATGCTATACTGGGTCAGCATTTATTTGAATGTGGCAGGTTTTTCTGTGCCGGCTCTATCAACCGGACGAGTTCCTCAACAGGGACATGTACATAGTGTCCATAAAGTTCGTGTACACTTTAAAAAATTCTAACTTTATTTATATTTGCGATAGAAATAATCTGTAAAAATTTTATAAAGTTTAATGCACCTAGTTTTAAGTATAGCTAAAATAACTAATGTGATTTCAGGCATTACTGTAAATCAGTTGGTAAATGTTTTCCATGAACTGCAAAATAGTATAACCCTTTGTATTGCTAATGATGGAGGACATGTGGAAACTTAAATAAAATTTCAATAACACCTTAAACAATATAGATTTACTTCTTTCTAATCCTTTTAACAAATTATTTCTATCGCAAATACAAATAAAATTTTAAAAAAATGTTTAAAGTGCACACGAACTTTATGGACACCTTGTATAATGCATTACACCACATATGCACCCAAGCTTACAGCACCTAGTATTCTCAAGAGGTCACTCATGCAGGTACTGACTAAGGTCGACGTTGCTTAAATTCACTGATTGTACGGAAACTGGGGTTTTAAAGGGATATGGCTGTAAGCCACATTTTCAGTATGAACAATTGGTAGTCAAAAGAACTCTGGTCGGACGTTGACCATTAGAGATTTGCAAATACTCGGACTTGCAATGTATCTTCGTCCGAGTATATTATTATTTTTAAAAAGAAAAACTGAGTTTTATAAGAACTCTTAGATAAAATTCAAAGAATGCGAAAAGAAAGGACTAATTATCGATTGCAAGAAAGTTGAATGGATAGTTGTTAGAAAGATGGGTATTCCAATAGGCAAGCTTCGAATTTGGAGATTCACGAATCTAGCAAACACAGAAATTCAACAACCTGGATAGTGATAGAAGACATAATGGAACATTCGAAGACAAATTGGAATAGAACTCCCCCGCTGCAAAAGCTAAACAAATATTAAGAAACGGGAAAATTTCGATAGAAACAAAGTAAAGTGCTGAACTCTTATATAGGTCCTTATCTTCTACACGGCAGTGAATACAGGACAATTTATTCACCGATAAATTAGAAAAATGTGACAAAAAATGCCGTTCTACAGATACGGTTCTCCTGAGAATACTATGAATATCACATGTCATCAATGAGGAAGCTTTACGTAAAATGAAAGCACAAAGACATTTGTACTTAAAATAAGAAACCAGAGTTGAAATTTTGGGGACACTTAATGGGTAAAGAGAGTTTGGAGAATTTGACACTCACATGACATTGAAAGCAAAGAGGGCAAAAGGAAAACAGCGAATATCCTTTCTAAAGAACTGTAAATGGATTGCAGCACAGGGATTGTAGGAGTGATAGTAAGAGAAGAAGCACTGCTTAGAGTTATAGAAAGTTGTGGAGAGCTATGGTAGCCCACGTCCTAAACGTATGCAGCTCATAAAAGAAGATCTAACGTTGCCGAAATTTCTTTCACTTCATTACTGATAGCTCGAGTAAATTAATTTCTGCCATCTCGGAGGCACCCAATATTTATAAATATGAACAATTTTCGAGGTATTTGAGAGAAGTTTCTAGTTTCATGTCGGGTAAATACGCAAATCCCAAGCATGGCGTATCGGAAAGGCTGACATTCAGAAGAGATATAACAAAGCAATGCAGCACATTTTTCTTTGATGTTGACGACATTTTCCAATACCAAAATGCATTGATTTTACCCTATACTATGCTATTCACCTTCGGCTTCGTGTGTTATATTATCCGTCATCTCTAAGTACATTGATTGGTAAATTCAAGTAGCTGCTTGATTCGAAAAATTATCTTATTACATATTATTGAAGAATTATTATTAGAATTATTACAAACTTATTTAATTGAACTGTTATAATTATATTATCTTAATATTATGAAAAATTATTATATTTTAATATGATTATGATAATTATATTATTATATAATAATTTTAATAATTTTTATTATAATATTATTTTAATATTATTATTATTATTATTTTAATATTATTTTTTATTATTATTATATTTTTTAATATTATTATTTTAATGGTTTTATTATATTATTATATTGTTAACTATTAGCGAAATTATTATTGAAAGACAATCTTATATATTATCGATGAATTTACATATAGATATAAGTATTAAATTATTTAAACTGTGTAAAGGGGAGCGAATGGTTCCTCTATCACGCACATTAATTTCATTACAGAAAAGGCGGCTGTTGTAGGAGTTTGATTTCTTTTTGAAAACTTAACGATACTTTAGCGTCTCTAACAACTTCTCTATTTCACAAAAGTCCCTATGGTGAAGAGAAACAATGTGAAGCGGCTTTCCCTTTATAACTAGGGAACCACATTTATTATGATACTATGTATTATGATACTGTTTATTATTATGATACTATTTATTATTATGATACTGTTTATTTTAAAATTTGTTGACACTAAGAACAAAAAAATGAGAGAAAACGGAGACACACGATCAGAAAGCCAATAAATCATCCTCTCGAATAAGAGTATTTGTTAACACTAGAAAAGTGTCCCTTAGAAGGACGGTCCAAGTATTAATTCTATGGGATTTAATGCATTAAGCAATCTTTACCCAAAAGCGCTCGTTCACAGATACAAATTATACATATATGAACGCGTCTTACTTGCTGTGTAAGGAGTGACATCAACAGACTAAATCTGACGGCACAGGCGCAAAAGATTATTGTTACATATAGCTTGCACTAAACGATGCGGACGCTTCGCAGAAGACCGTCTTAATCCAATGACAAGAACCAATCAAGATAATCGGGGATTATCTGTACCACATTAGATTTGAAAAGTCTGATGACAAGACACCGACGGAATCCTAATTTCCCCAATCATTTCCGTTGAATCATGGCCTACTGCCACTGCTCGTACGCAAATAGAGACGGTCACCATCTACCGTAGTGCATTCTATTGCAATATGAATAGTTCCCCAGGGTTTACAACAATCTTTTGAATGTTTTTAAGTTCCATTTTATGATGTTCACACTAGAAGTTACAACTGACTTAGTAACGGTATTATTATTATTATTAATAATAATTAGTTAACGATAACTATTAATTTACACCGCGAATTGCAACAAAGCAAAAATATTGACCTAAAATCTTGATCCATTTTCTAAAATATCCTCGTCAGATGGAGGCATTCATATCGATGAATTATCAACAGTATACCACCATTTTATCAGATCACTGGTTAAAATAACTTCGGCGAATAAAGCCAGTGGGTCTTACTAAGGACTATTCTTCTTTGCAATTCGTTGACCGGCGCTAGAGAATAACAAAGAATACTGTGGTACATTTGTCTATCACTAAAATCTTTCAGGTTACAGATACTTTCTTTCATGAAAGAAACAATCAACTGTTAATTTAAGCATGTGCTTGTGTTTTATTATATATATATATATATATATATATATATATATATATAATAGGGAACAATTAGTATATATATATATATATATATATATATATATATATATATATATATCCACAGCAGCAGCGTTGCCCGTGCTTGATTCAAATATCGTACGACTCATACAGCAATCGATATCCCTTGACTTACTTCTTGCCTATCTCACACTGCGAATTTTTTTCTAAGCTCTATACTAAACATTAAATCTGTTACGAAAAAAGAACTAAACAAAATGAACACAAAACGATCAGCTTTAAAAAAAGGATTCGTAACTGGAAAAACCGAATGAAAAAAGACTGTT